AGCCACCTAACCAAGCTCCACGGAGTGGGACCCTTGTCGCTGATTAAATCTATATAAATAAACACGTCTGCGTCTGTGGGGAGCACAGCGCGATTAGGTACAAAATATGACACTGCGCACACATATTCTCAGCCATTAGGAGGTAATTTTCAGCTCTGTTCAAACTGACAGAGTAGGCAGAGGTTAGCGCGCCAACTAAACTTCTTTTTCTCCAAATCCAGTAGCTTTAGTTAAGTCTGTTCGACAGAACTGGCATTTCAACATACAAAGATGTTTAACTCTGACCCTCCCCCCAAAAAAAGTTTATTTAGCTTTGAATGGATTTTTGCGCTTTGAAGGGCTTGTTTTTTCCCCAAACACTAAATTATTAATGAAAGAGTGCAGGCAATAAATCACAAACAATAATACACGTTAGAATTGTGGCTGCCAGATACACATGGAAGCAGAAGAAAATTTCCAGTATTCTTTAGGTTTTTGTTTTTTCCTCCTCCCACCCTGGGAGATACGTATAGATTCAGGGAGCAAGCTTTTGTATAAATTTTCCACCTCGGGGTAACCGGGGGGCAGGTGCACCGTATGTTCAGTCACGTTGAGGACAGCCAAATCAATAGCAGAGACATGCCGGGACAATTTGAATCTATTAAATAAATGTTATCCAAACACCATTACATATATTAAAAAACACACTTAACGTTGATGAAAAATCAAGGTACGTTATTCTATCAGGGGAAGATGATTGAACGGGGAAATGGACCCTTCGGGCAGCATCACTAAATAGTTTCCGAGCCTGAGCTCCTCAGCAGGCCCCTTACCTACCCAACAAGGAGGCCAAAAAAAAAAAAAAATCCACACCAAGAAAAACCTGTTTTCAGGGGCCATCGGAGTGAGGTGAGTTCTCGGCATCGTGAAGGCAGGCTGGGTGGCCGCGGCTGTGTCAGAAGGCTGAGATGTTGCGGAAGCCAGGCTGGTTAGTATTGTCTACTTAAAACAACAGTCACAAGTCACCCGGAGAAAGGCTGTTGGGACTTTGGGTGTTTCTCTGTTCACCGCACGTGTATGCTTTTCTCAAAGCATCCAGCCATAAACCCCAGGACTGTCCGAGGGCAGGAAGCGGGCAGATTCACCCTGGAAGGAAGGACCGTATTTGCCCAAGTCCTGTGACAGATTTACCCGTCGCTGGCTGAGTGTGCGGAGTGACCGGCACGGCTGTAGCCAGCACCTCTGCGTGGTGTGTTTACACTTTTCCTCCGTTTCAGGAGGGAAAGCAGCCAGCCCCGGGCAGATAGATGTACGCCTGATTTGAAAGGGTTTTCTCAGCTGGAGAGAGCTCTGGCTTTTGTGTGTCTGTCTCTCTTTTTACAAACCTCCTCCCCGGTTCGTTATCCGCCCAAGCCCTCCTTGACTTGGTTCACCGCTGCGAAGGCCGCCGGCTCTCCGAGCGCGTTGTCTGCCCTGCGCCTTGCTCTGGGAGGGTGCTCGGAGCACGTCTCTGATACCTGGCTACTGCGCCTCCTTTCCTCGTTACATTAATTTGGGCGATTGTGCTCACGTTCATGTTCATTGTTCCTTGCATGAGACCTGAAACAGTCCGTTCTCATGACGCAGTGGAGTTGGCTGTGGTTTTCAGCCTGCCTAAGGGGTTTGGAAAGCCAGTATCTGAAAACGACACTGTCCCAGGCTCCCGTCCCTGCCGCAGTCACTGTTCAGCCAGAGTGGCTACGGGCCGCAGTTCCTGGAGGGACAGGGCGCAGCCTTCATCCCTTTTAAAACCGTGCATGACCTAAGACCAGACGAGAGCAAACAGCTTTAGTATGTAGGAAATATACCCTCATATAATTAACTGTTCAATGTGTGACTCCCGTTCCCTTACTCAGAAGGGAGACAAGGACACATTTCTGAGGTTCTAACATTAACTTTCGCTCTTCCATCTGCCTCGGAAAACTCCTGAGCCCTGGACTCACCTCCTTCTGTCTCAATAATGGTTAAAATGAGCATTATTCTGGTTGCCCCTGCTCCCATGCCGTGGCAATGTGGCATTAATATATTATTTATTTCCTCTAATTCTCTACAAATACCAGGGAGGGTGTGGTGTAGAGAAAAGAAATTCAAAATATACCATTTGGGTTTTAAAGACAGTTTTTGAAAAAGAGCAATTTCCATATATCAACACTTTTTGGTGAGATCCATGAAACATTTTGATATGATTTAGCAAAAACAGTTTTTGCATCAGGAACGTTCTAGCTACCTCATCTGCATATGTAAAGAATGCAAAATGGAATCACATTAGGTGTAAATTCAATGCAAAAAAAAGACGCCCTTCGTTAATGCAGTATTACTGTCGGAAATTCAAATTTCCGAAGTCATAAAAGCCAGCTTTCCGTTCTCAGCAGTTACAGCTGGTGGCTTTGCGCTTGGCATTGTGTGTGCTCTGAGGGTCCCACCTTGAGAGGGGAGATTTGGGTCTGCTCACTCCAGGGATCTCGGGAGGAAGACCTGGGGGCCGCAAATCAACGGTGAAGGGTGGTTTTCCTCAGCTGAATCATAGCTTCCATTTCTAAACTGAAACTGAGGGTAGATGGATCTTTTCTCATTAGAAAAAAAACCAGTTATGACCCTGGGGAGAATATAAGTCACAGGGCAAAACGGACAAGTCCCTCTCTGTCCGCGAGGAGCCTTGGACTCTGGTTGGGGTATGGCGATGACAGACATGGATCTCTGTCCAAACCAAACCGAGTGGATGTCGTGATTCTCTGGTAGGATCCTTGGGGAAGGCTACTGTGTGTTAACAGATGGTTTGGAAACAGATTCTCTAGGCCCAATGAGGTTGCCTACAGCATGGCCCATCCAGGAGCTGGCTGTGCCCTAGAACTGAAATCTGTAGCACGCTCAGATGGAGTGAGCGGTGGATCTGTTTTATGTGACCTTCAGCCTTCGGGCATGTTTCCATCTCAAACCTGGGGAAACTGAGACTTGGGGGCTGTGAAACATTTCAGAGACATTATCCAGCGGGCCAGCCTCTGGACTCAGAGTGATCACATCTCCTTTGGGCTGCAGGATTCCTCTTCTCTTTCCTCCTCCTCCTTCCCATCTCCTTCTTCTCCTCCTCTCTGTTCTTCCTCTCATATTACCATTACCAACATCATCACCGTCATCCTCACCACCGTGATCCTCAGCACCATTATCATCATGACCACCACCATTACCACCATCGTCACCACCACCATCACTACCATCACCATCACCACCACCATCTTCATCATCACCATCACCACCACCACCATCATCACCATCACCACCACCATCTTCATCATCACCATCACCACCACCACCATCATCACCATCACCACCACCATCACCACCACCACCATCACCATCTTCATCATCACCATCACCACCACCACCATCACCATCACCATCATCACCATCACCACCACCATCTTCATCATCACCATCACCACCACCACCATCATCACCATCACCACCACCCTCATCATCACTACCACCATCACCATCACCACCACCATCCTACCATTATCATCACCATCACCATCACAACCACCATCGCTACCATCACCATCACTATCACCACCACCACATTACTACCATCATCACCGTCACTATCATCACCACCCTCATCATCACCACCACCACCACCATCATCATCATCACCACCACCATCTTCATCATCACCACCACCATCACCACCACCATCATCACCATCACCACCACCACCATCACCATCTTCATCATCACCATCACCACCACCACCATCACCATCACCATCATCACCATCACCACCACCATCTTCATCATCACCATCACCACCACCGTCACCACCACCATCACCACCACCCTCATCATCACTACCACCATCACCATCACCACCACCATCCTACCATTATCATCACCATCACCATCACAACCACCATCGCTACCATCACCATCACTATCACCACCACCACATTACTACCATCATCACCGTCACTATCATCACCACCCTCATCATCACCATCACCACCACCATCATCATCATCACCACCACCATCACCACCATCACCATCACCACCATCACCACCATCACCACCATCACCATCACCACCATCACCACCATCATCATCACCACTATCATCATCATCAGTCACCGTCACCTTCATACATGCACAGGGTGCTTTCTGGAAGAGTAACAAAAGGCTTTCTCTCCATGGATCTCCACTCAAATCCTTGGGAACTAGAAGGTGTTGCTCCTTTCATTTTTGACTTTTTCAAGGTCAGGGCTGAAGCAGCCTTGAATCTCTGAGTTCTGACTCTAAACTCCTCTTGCTTTCAGCCTCCTGCTTGCAGGTGATGGTAACACACGATACCTTTGTCTTGCAGAGGCAGAATCAGGAAAGCTCACAGAGGATTTGGATAGAGACAGGAGTAAGGGAGCTGCAAGGTTCCAACACCTGTCACAGTTGGACTTGAGCCCAGCTGCTCAGAAGCAACCACATAACCATCTTCTTATACAGCTTCTCTGGGGTGTGGGGAGGGAGAGTCTCCAAGGCCTACATCCCACATCAGGGAGAAGCCAGGGGGGGCCCAGGAGCTTGTGGGGGATTGGAATGCCTCCAGAGAGCCCTGCATCCTCAGGACCAGGTGCTCAGGATGGCTCTTCCCTGGAAGGAAACCAATCACACTCCCCACTAGTAGATTAGGGGCAGGTCAGGTCAGAGGCTGATGCTGCAGGTCTTCAGGCTGCCTCAGCCCTCGCTGAGCCGAGCTGCAGCTGTAAGAACCCTGGCTCCTCGCCTGCTTCCCCTGCACCCAGCGGTTCTCACCCATCATCACCCATGATGGTGGTGGTGGTGATGGTGATGGTGGTGATGGTGATGGTGGTGGTGATGGTGGTGGTGATGATGGTGGTGATGGTGGTGATGGTGGTGGTGATGATGATGGTGATGGTGGTGGTGATGGTGGTGATAATGGTGGCAGTGATGGTGGTGGTGATGATATGGTGATTGTCACACCCTCCACACCACGTCCTGGTTCGTGCTCAGGTCCAAGAGGCCTGGGGCTGCCTGCTGCAGGCTCACTCTTTCAGCCTCTTCACAGCACCGGATTCCATGAGCAGACTTTCCTTTGCTGTCTGTGACCGTGCACAGCATCTCAGCTGCAGTTCTACGCAGGCAGAGACTCACTTCTGGCAGGAGAGGACAGGGCCAGGGGTCAGAAAGCCCTCACCTTCTCCCAAACCAACCTCTGAGAGACCAGCCTGGGTTTCTGAACACGGAGCCCAAGGGGCACCTCCTGTTCATCTCTCAGCCCACGTGACCTCTGCTACCTCTGCAGTTGCCAAAAAAATGTGTTACAAAGCACGCCCACTCAGGTGAGTAAGGAAGGTCAAGCCTCCCTGTGTGATGCTGAGAGAGCAGGCCCCCGCCCCCTGCGGTGGTCTCCCATGGAAGAGAACATGAGGAGACAGGTCAGGGACCTCCGTGCACGCCCACGCACCGGGGTGCTGTCTGTGGAGCGGTTCTAGCCTCCGACTGATGGAAGCTCTGGGGATTTGGGGTGTGAATGATGGATGTGTAAGGTCTGCTGGTCTGGGGGGCACCCGAGGAGCACGGGGACTCAGAGGCAGGCTGGGGTCACACAGCGAGCCCTGGATCACTTCTCTTCTCCCACCCGCCCTCCCGGGAGGCCACGAAGATCCGGAGACCCCACCCACCCTGGAAGAGATGCTCTCTAAGACTTTTTGTGTCCTTTTGTTTTAAAAATCCTCATGAGTTCTAACAAAGGCATGGATTAAGGTGACCACCACCAGCGTAGCCAGTGGGGAGGACCGCTTCGTCTCCCCTGGGATCCCCCAGGCTGGCCTCGGCAGTCACACCCACAGCAACCAACCGCCCCGGTGTTTCCGGCATGTGAAATGTTTGGCGCTGAAACTGGGAAGGTGCCAGGGAAACCGAGACCCGTGGTCACCCTCCCACATCGCCCTTGCCCCTGGGCCCCTCTGGGCTCTTTTCCGTCACTGGTGGTTTTTGGAGAATCTGAAATAAGTTGGCTCACCCAGTAACCTCTGGGGTGCGTCTCTCAGTGGGGCGCTCTGAGCTTTGTCCAGGTTGCCCTGTCCCTTGGCGGGGGGCTCTCTGGCACAGACAGTGCTATCCCCGATGTGGACGCACTGGGGGCTGCTGTCCACTCCCCTGCTGAAGTACGCCTGGATCAATCCCAGCGTTCGGGTTCCAGGCGGGCAGGTGGTCGTGGGCGTCTGTTCTTGGGCGTCACGCGGGAAGTGCGCTCAGCTTCCTAAGACGGGCCAGAATCCCCGGGGGAGGCCCCCCAGCCGCCCGTGTTCCCGCCGGCGCTGCAGGAGCGCCCGGGGGCTCTGAGCCTGGGCTTCAAGCCCAGGGGGCCTCGCAGGGTCCTCCTCTGGGGGCACTCGGCTCCAGGCCACTGCCCTGGGACACGGCCAGCTGGGACTGTGCCCTGGGGCCTCGCGGGCGGAGGGCGGGGCACTGCTGCTGGGCACCCTGCGTGCGTGAGACGGACCCGCATCTCCTGTGTCTCCTGCATCGGAGGCAGATTCTTTACCCACCAAGCCCTCTGTTTGTACTTCCCAGGAATTGTTAATGGGCTTTGCTGGGGACTCTGGGCAACTCTTTATATAGGATTTACACTGTATTTACAACTATTTACACAGCGCTTGAATTGTATTGGGTTTACCAGGTAGCTCAGTGGTAAAGAATCCACCTGCCAATGCAGGAGGCATGGGTTTGATCTTCCCGGGTCAGGGAGATCCCTGGAGAAGAAAATGGCAACCCTCTCCAGTATTCTTGCCTGGGAAATCCCATGGATCCTAACCTAGACAGAACAGGGCTGGGAGGAGCCTACAGGCTTAACTTTAAAAAAAAATTAATTCTAATTTTTAAATAAATACTGCAAGATAAACAATTTGAGGACACGCAGTAAACTTTGACAGATCAGTCCTTGTAGAGGCCCAGGATGGGAGGCGCTGTGGAGCTTTTGTGTTAACATGTGGGCTATTCTGGGTTCTCAGATCCTCCTCATTCTCAAGCCAGGGATCCCACGGATGTGGGAATATGTGGGCTATTCTGGGTTCTCAGATCCTCCCCATTCTCAAGCCAGGGATCCCACAGATGTGGGAACATGTGGGCTATTCTGGGTTCTCAGATCCTCCTCATTCTCAAGCCAGGGATCCCACGGATGTGGGAACATGTGGCCTATTCTGGGTTCTCAGATCCTCCCCATTCTCAAGCCAGGGATCCCACGGATGTGGGAACATGTGGGCTATTCTGGGTTCTCAGATCCTCCCCATTCTCAAGCCAGGGATCCCACGGATGTGGGAATATGTGGGCTATCCTGCGTTCTCAGATCCTCCTCATTCTCAAGCCAGGGATCCCACGGATGTGGGAACATGTGGGCTATCCTGGGTTCTCAGATCCTCCCCATTCTCAAGCCAGGGATCCCACGGATGTGGGAATATGTGGGCTATCCTGGGTTCTCAGATCCTCCCCATTCTCAAGCCAGGGATCCCACGGATGTGGGAATATGTGGGCTATCCTGCGTTCTCAGATCCTCCTCATTCTCAAGCCAGGGATCCCACGGATGTGGGAATATGTGGGCTATCCTGGGTTCTCAGATCCTCCCCATTCTCAAGCCAGGGATCCCACGGATGTGGGAATATGTGGGCTATCCTGCGTTCTCAGATCCTCCTCATTCTCAAGCCAGGGATCCCACGGATGTGGGAATATGTGGGCTATTCTGGGTTCTCAGATCCTCCTCATTCTCAAGCCAGGGATCCTACCAATATGGGAAGTGGCCCAGTGGCTTCTTAACTGTTGTGTAAAATGTAGCCAAAAATGAACAAAAGTGGCCAAAAAAAAAAGATGGGCTATCTCAGTAGTCTTCCCCCAGATGGAACTGATTCCCTGAGGTTTTAGTCAGTGTGAACTGGGCAGTGGAAAGCAAAGCAAGTCTATTTACCTCTCGGAGCCTGAATTCACTGAAGGATTACTGGAGAGGCGGGCACAGAAACCACGGGCATTTAATGAACACGCAGGTGAGGGCTGGCCAAATCAGAATGAGGAGAAGAAAATTTGGAGGAGATACACCCAGGTATACACACAGGTACACACAGATACCCACACACAGGTATACACACAGATACAGGCATACACACAGATACACACAGGTATACACAGGTACACACAGGTATACACACAGATACACACAGGTATACACAGATACACACAGGCATACACACAGATAAAGGCATACACACAGATACACACAGGTATACACAGGTGCACACAGGTATACACAGATACACACAGGCATACACACAGATAAAGGCATACACACAGATACACACAGGTATACACAGGTGCACACAGGTATACACAGATACAGGTTTACACAGGTGCACATAGGTATGCACAGATACACACAGGTATACACAGATACACACAGGTATACACAGATACACACAGGTATACACACAGATACAGGTATACACACAGGTACACACAGGTACACACAGGTACACACAGATACACACAGGTATACTCAGGTATACACACAGATACAGGTATACACACAGGTACACCCAGGTACACACAGGTACACACAGATACACACAGGTATACACAGGTATACACACAGATACAGGTATACACACAGGTACACACAGGTACACACAGATACACACAGGTATACACAGGTATACACACAGATACAGGTATACACACAGGTACACACGGGTACACACAGGTACACACAGGTATACACAGGTACACACAGGTATACACAGGTACACACGGGTACACACGGGTATACACAGATACACACAGGTACACACAGGTACACACAGGTATACACACAGATACACACAGGTACACACAGGTACACACATGTATACACAGGTACACACAGGTACACACAGGTACACACGGGTACACACGGGTATACACAGATACACACAGGTACACACGGGTATACACACAGGTACACACAGGTACACACAGGTACACACAGGCACACACGGGTACACACGGCCCCTCTAGCCCGCTGGGTTCTGCTGGAACGGACCCGCGCGGACGGGCAGCAGCACTAGTTGGGCAGTTTCTGAGACGGCGACGCTCACAGGTACACACAGGTACACACAGGTATACACACAGATACAGGTATACACACAGGTACACACAGGTACACACAGGCACACACGGGTACACACGGCCCCTCTAGCCCGCTGGGTTCTGCTGGAATGGACCCGCGTGGACGGGCAGCAGCACTAGTTGGGCAGTTTCTGAGATGGCGACACCCACAGGTACACACAGGTATACACAGGTACAGACAGGCACACACAGGCACACACGGGTACACACGGCCCCTCTAGCCCACTGGGTTCTGCTGGAACGGACCCGCGCGGACGGGCAGCAGCACTAGTTGCGCAGTTTCTGAGACGGCGACGCCCGCAGGGCCGAGGACTCGGGTTGTCGCGTGTGGTTACCTGAGAGAGCACACGTCACCATTTGGTGCCTGAGGCTTTAGGTACTGAATCCAATCATTCCTTTTTTTTTCTCCCTGAAAAATGTAACTTTTAAATAACAACATATTTACTCATTTGATTCTAATTTCCAATACCTGAAACGACATCCAGTTTAGAAGACCGCGTCAAGTGAGCCAAATACCCGAGTGCCCTTGTAATTAAATATACTTTATCAAGTGCTGCCTGACTGCCCGTTGACCCTCTCGGCTGCCCGGGGAGCCCGCGGGTTCCGGCTGGTCGCGTGGGCCCAGGTCCGCGCTGGGCGCCGGGTCTCCATCTCCACCCGCTGCGCCCGTCCGCCCGGGGGTCCCCAGGCTCAGGCGGTGGGTCACTGCGGGTGGATGCTGTGTGTCCACGCGGGGAGCAGGCATGGGCCCCTCCTCATGGAAGCTGACATGCCTGGTCCTGGGGAATCAGGTGCCGGGCCGTCCAGCAGGACAGGAGGCATTGGGGCGGGGTGGGGGGCGGGCCAGGCGGGCCCTGAGCTGTGGCACAAAGTTTTATTTTTTCCCCAAACAACAGCAGCTGCTCTACATCCTGGGGCGGGGAGGGCAGAGGCGAGGCATGCATTCCTTCTTTTTTTCTTTTTTTGAGAAGTGGCTTTGGCCAGTTTGCGGACATTCATCGCAGGAGCCCGGAAGGGGATCTGCATTTCTGGCTCCTTCCTGGGCTCTTCAGTCCAGTGTCCCGTGGACAGGCTGAGGACTCCGCCGGTTCTCGCCTCGATCTTTGACTTACGACTCAAAGAAACCTCAGAACCCCCAAAGGAGCCAGGGAGCCCCTAGCACCGCGTCTATGGCATAGATTCGCTGCGTGTCGGGCACCCGGGCGCAGGGGGGCCCAGGACCAGCCCCGGGGTCTGCTGTCAGCGGCCCTCGCTGTGGAGGCCTGCTCTCCGCGTGGCGTCTGGAGCCTCTCTGCAGACCGGGCAGGGAGCTTGGGAAGATGGCCAATGGAAACAAGGCCGCCTGCACCCCAGGGCTGCAGCCTCAGAACCACTGCCCCGTCTGGGCGGACGCAGGAGACCACGGCCCCCCATGGCCCCCTGGCCTTAGGAAGAGCCAGATCAGGCAGTGCAGTGCCGCTGTGAGACCCTCGGAGCTCAGGCCCTCTGCGGGCTAAGTGTCCTTAGAGCAGCTGAAACCGTTGGCTCTGAACCACACTCAGGGTTCAGTGAAAAGTCTGGTGTGATCTCGAGAGCAAGCGCTCAGTGTTCAAGACAGGTTAATCACATCTTGTCTGTGAGAACCTGGTGACTTCTTGAGAGAACAATTCCAGAGGGGAATGTATGTGTCTGCACATGTGTGTATATGCATGTGTATGAACATGTGCTGTGTGCATGTGTGTACACACAAGTACACACACAAGCTAGCATGTGCACATGCTTAGGTGTATGTGTGCTGTGCCCAGCATGTGTGTACACACATGCACATGAGTATACACACGTTAGCATGGACATATGCATACGCTTAGGTGTATATGAGCTGTGCCCAGCATGTGTGTACACACATGCACATGAGTATACACACATGTTAGCAAGGGCATGTGCAAATGCTTAGGTGTATATGAGCTGTGCCCAGCATGTGTGCACACACATGATTATAGATGAAGAAATGGAGGAAGCACCCGGCTGGAGCCCTGAGGGTGAGTGTGCCTCGCAAGGAGCCCAGTGCTTTGGTGATGATGCTTTGGCCTGAGCACAGCCGCTGATGGATGGTTTGCTGTCGAGTGTCCTGTATCATTCCGGCAGGTGGGCCTGGGGGCGGGCAGGTTAAGTGGTCTGGCTGGGGTGAGGCCCGAGGCTGGTCAGCGGGGTGGTGCCCTCCTGCCCTGCCCGTCTCTGCGGAGCCTGGGCTGCCAGCGTGTGACTGCTGCCCCGAGACCTGGTAGTCTGAAGGGCAGTGTGCACACTCACTCATCAAAACGCCTGGGGACAACTGTCTCTGATGCGTCAGTGAGCCTCGCAGCTCTCCGGAGCACAAGCTACCCGGTTCCTGCGGGGCCCACGCGCTCCGTTCAGGGGACAGACCTGCCCAGAGCAGGCGGTGGTGGCAGACCCACGGCGGTGGGTAACTTCTGGATCTGCGGGAGGGCTTCCCCAGATGACGTTGTCGGGAAGGGAAGTATGTGAAGCAAAAAGGGGCAGATTCATGGAAAATAATTGATCCTTAATTTCTGGAATGTGAATTTGAATTAGGTCCTCTCTTGCAAGTGACTCTTAGTGTTTGATGGTGAAGTATCTGGGGCAGATGTATACAAAGGACATTGCTCTACAAATGCGTGTGCCCATCACCAACCGTAACAAGTAAACCGTGGCAAGCGGTTCCCCCGCCTCTCTGCTCTCGTTCCCTAGAGGTAACCGCTATCCTGAATTGGGTGTTTCTAAGACCAGAGGCAGTACTGATATGCATGTGGAAAGACTGTGCAAGCAGAGCTCAGATACCTTTGTGCTTCTTGGTGATGCCCAGCATCCTGTTTCAGAGACTCCCGAATGGCAGCAGCAGGTAGCTTTGGCTCCTTCGTCTCACTGGTCTTGTTTTACTTCCAATAAACAGGCCACAGCGTGTTTGTTAATCGGCTAATGGGTGGGCAGAGAGGTAGTGCCACCTTTTGCCGGTGTCCAGTACAGCAGTGAGTAGCCCTCTATGTCCACGTTGCAGGGTAGCTCTCTACAAGCAAGTTTCTCCGGGTCTAAAGCTACCCCAGTTGCTGGGTCTTGGGGACGCAGCTCTTCACCCTTTCTAAGTGCCGCCTTTGTTTTCTAAATCCCTGGGAGAGCGTCAGTGCCGGGGTCAGGGGGCTGTGCCAAGGAACAGACACACTTCAGAGCGGCCTCAGGCAGGGAGCAACTTCGTCCCTGACACTTTGTAAGTGACGAACCGGGCGAAGCTGTGGTGTGTCACGGGCTGATGCTTGCCAGAGCTGGGGTCCCCCACCTGTCTGATTCCGGGCATGAGCTCCAGTGGCTCCCGCTCCCTGAGACCCCAGGTCCAACCCCCAGCTGAGGGGTCTGCAGAGGTGGTCACCGACAGGGCCCTCCTTTTCCAGGGCTGGTGTTGACATTCTGCCAGCCTGGCCCTGCCCACCGCCTGGGGCTTGGCCCTCTGGGGAGGAGAGCGGCTGGCCGAGGAGCCGAACCCCACACCCACACTCCAGGGTGTGGGAGCCTGGGCGGCCCTGGAGCTGGCCTTCTGTTTGCGGCTCCTGTCTGTCTGCTCCGACGGGCTGGGCCCTGTTCTGGGGGCGGGCCAGCCCTGGGCGGCCTTGAGTCTGGATGGAGTCCTGGCTTGGTCACTTACTCTTTGAACACAAGCGAGTCACTCACTTTTTCTTGGCGTTTCCTCATCTGTGGAACGGGGCCAACAACACATCTTTCTCGGGCATTTTTATAAAGAGGAGTTGAGATAATCCACCAAGGCACTTAGTGCCAAGGATGCCACCAAGGATGCCGTCAATGCAGTTCACCTGTTCCTTTGATTGTATCAAATGGGAGGAGATGGCAGAAGCCAGCCTCTCCCTCCAGTTTATGGAGGAGGAGAACGAGAAGGTAAAGAGACTCGCCCACAATTGCCGATTTAATGGCGGAGCCTCAACCAGGCTTTAGATCCATCCCTCCATCGTCATCCATCATCCATCCTTCTACCCACCCACCCCGCCCGTCCCTTCATCTGTCCATCACCAGCCACTCCGCCATCCTGCCACTCAACAGTTGTTTACTAAACATCTGGGTGTCAAGTGTTGTCACTGGTGATTCCTAGATGAAGCTCATGGTCCCCATGTTGGAGACTGTCTTGGCTTAATGGGAGGGAGCTCACAGAAGGCTAACTGTCCTGCCGTGGCAGAACTACACCAACACAGGCACAGGCCGGGTTCCGAGGAGAGAGGGGGCCGCTTCCCAGCCTGGGTGGGGAAAGGACTTCTGGTTCTCAGATGATAGGGGCTGGTGCTAACTCGGTCCAGAAGGGTGTGTGTGTTTGTCTGGCAGCGGTATTACCCGATGTCTGGGGCGAGGTGTACCTTGGTCCAGGAGAATGTGATTTTTCCAGCAGCGGCAGCATCCCTGGGAGCCTGTTAGAAACACAGTATCTCAGGCTTCATCCCAGGCTGCCTGCATCAGGATCTCCCTTTTCACAAGACGCCGGGACGGTTCATGCGCACATTCAAGTTCAAGTGTGTCTGCTCCACACTGGGTGCCATGTTCCCTGATGCTCCCGGAAAGTGAAAAAAAAGTGAAGTTGCTCAGACTCTTTGCGACACCGTGGACTGTAGCCCACCAGGCTCCTCCTCCCATGGGATTCTCCAGGCAAGAATACTGGAGTGGGTTGCCATTTCCTTCTCCAGGGAATCTTCCCGACCCAGGGATCAAACCCAGGTCTCCCACATTGCAGGCAGATGCTTTAACCTCTGAGCCAAGGCACCTGTTAAATATGAGGGCATGGCAGGATTCTGATACAAACTCCTGCGTCCTCCATGGTTACTGGGGTGCATGCACAGTCTCCCCGCTAGTCTAACCTCCTGCCTACAGCATCATAGGCCCGGGAACAGCTAAGATGCTTCCTCTGCGTCCTGCAGGTTCATTAGAAGGCGCACCACGAGCAGAACAAGGGCTTAATTTTCATGAAAAGCGGTGTGAATAACACACAAATGAAACGGCCTCTACCTCCTTCATCTGAGCAGGACTCTCCCCAAGGGAGGCGATGGGCACCCTCGTGCCTGGGAGGTCTTCTCAGCGTGGCCTCGCCTGTGGGCTGTGTCGGTCGCGTTCGGAGAAACCTGGCCAGAGGGAGACAACGGAACGAGGCCTCAGGGAATAAGACATTACTGACTTCTGAGAACACGCATCAGACGTATTGATCTGAAAACCAAATGTTGACCAGTGAAAGCCTATGGTCAGTATTTCACCTTGAAGGACAACACACTTGGACAGCTCGCAGAAATACATGTTCTGTGCATTTGTAAGGTATTTATTAGCAATCCCTGAGAAATAGCTGTGGGTTTTCACAGGAGGCGGCGGCCTGTGCCGAAGTTCTGAGTCTCGGCTGTGTGCTATGGGGACAGGTGACCTCTGCGTTGCAAGGGGACCCAGAAACCAGGGAGCCGGGGCCCGGGGAGGGGCCTCACGCATCTCCGCTCACCTTCCTGTCCTGAGTCCACGCCCCGCTCTGCCTTTTCTGACACCAGTTTCCCGAAGAAGCAGACCCAGGTCAGTGGACACCCCGCCTTCAGCGGAGCTGTCACCTCAGAGGAGCCTCTCGGTGGTTTGTGGAAGCGGAGGTGGCCATGGGCGGCCACTAGAATCCCACAGGGCCTGGCCCGTCCCACCCGACTCAGCTGGGTCCCCACACACACGGCTTTCCTAAGGGTGAAGACCCTGCTTCTGAGTATCTGAGCTTTGGGCCTGCTTCTTTCTCTAAAGCGTTGTCACAGAGCTCTTGCGTGAGTGCTCAGCTGCGTCCAACTCTGCGACTTCATGGACTGTAGCCCGCCAGGCTCCTCTGTCCATGGATTTCCCAGGCAAGAACACTGGAGTGGGTTGCCATTTCCTTCTCCAGGGGAGCTTCCTGACCCAGGGATCAAACCTGTGTCTTCTGTGGCTCCTGCACTAGCAGGAAGATTCTTTACCACTGAGCCACCTGGGAAACCCATCACATAGTTCTAGTTCATGCCAAAATTTCCAGAAATGCACATGTGCTTCAAATGAGGGAAGGTTACTCTTGATGCTGTTTGGAGCTTTACCGAGACTGGGGTCACCGTGTTGGAAGTTCACCTCCGAGCATTCTGTGGCCCCCTGGCTCCAGCTGTCACATCCTCAGCAGTGGGAGTGTCAGTGCAGACGTGGGGTGACCTCACTGTGCCTTTGGGGAGGTCACACCCAGGAGTTTACGTGTCAAAGTGCATAGTGTTTACAGTATCAGTATCTTCCTTTCGCGCTGTTAGGGCATTGTGCTGATTGTTGAAGCTAGCCGGGGTAGATTCCACTACGTATTCTTTCTTTCCAAGATAGCACAGAAGCTTGTAAAACATTTTCATAAAATAGGGTCTGGGGTCTGAGTGGGCTGAGCCCCTCTGCCTCAGGCACCCTCTAGAGCAGGCGGGCAGTTCTCACCTGCTTCCTGTCGTCC